CGCCTCCCTTCGATTATCACTTGCATTTGTACCCTCGGGGAATAATAGAAGCCACATGGGATCGAGTTCCGAAGCTCCCGGGCGTTTCTCTTGAAGTTGTTTGAATCGATGGGCCATTACTGGTCGATCTTTTTCCATCTTCCTGGACATAAAAATAAAATTGAAGAACTGCATTCCCCATCCAATAATTGGAACCCATTTTAAAGAGTCTTTTGCAATAATATAAATATAACCGTGTGTTTGAGGTTGATTGGTGTAAGCCACCCACCAGAGGTAGAGCCAATCTGTATAGAGCTATGAAACGTTTAGTACGATGAGCTTAACGCATTCCTAGCTTGTGCATACCTGATGATTCGCAATCATAATCAATCTTTCTGGAAAATCGCATTCTGCTCTTCCATCCGCAGTTTTTCGCAATTGTCCTGCTACTGACGCATCACCACTTATTCTAACCACTGTTGGACTCCACCATTGGGTCATCGTCGTTATTAAAAGTCCAAATGATTGTTTCGTGAGTGCCATCCATGAATAATATATATCTCGATTTATCCAATATAAAGGTACGCCGATAAGTTGTGTAGCTTGGATCCTTGTGTCGGTTTAGCAGGATATCTCGAATCTCATCCAGCAAAACTTACGTAGAACAACAAGCCCAGAAATAAGTCGCGAAACTCAACAGTCTGCCAATTTGTGCGACCGATCCATGCCTAACCTCACCAGATGGATGATCTCCTTCTTCCAAAGCCTTTTCCTTCGTTCCTCCTCCAAAATCCGGTACAGGCGCCGGCATGGTTGGAGCCTTGTTCCTTTGCTTTAGGTTTTGGTCGGCCATGATTATTTGATGAATGGAAACACCAGATTTTTCCTTTGAATGTGTTGATGGAGAAGGAAGGTAAGCTCTGAGGTTTAAATATGCACAATGAGGCTCTCGTGGAAAAAGGATATGACAAGGCAGATTTGTCGTGTGCTCGGGAAGGCGGGAAGGCTAGAGGGATGGAAGGCTATTTCGTACTACTGGCAGCTATGGTAGTTTGCTTTGGTGGGGTGGATTAGGTTCTGGTTGGATGTTGCCGGAAGCTTTTTCTTAAGAAAGAAAGTATAAAAGCATATATGAAGATTGATTTGAAGTGAATATTAAATGATCTTATTGAAATCCTTCATTTTTGAGTATGTTTGGGGATATATCATATATATATATATATCAGAGATGATATATATTCGTGGTTGTCGAGCTGTGAGGGGAGGGATCAATATATGTACCTAGTACGTACTACTCGTACCTCATGAAGTAAATAGCATGTGAGTGATGTATGGAGTGAAGTGAGTGAGTGAAGTGAGTGAAGTAAGCTATGGTAATAAAAGCTTTGCGTAGGTACCTAGCAGTAGGTAGAGCCTTGCTCAAACCTTGGACGTAAGCGGACATAATAGAATCGTATGCACAGACCATCTCTTGATTTTTGGAGTACTGAAGGAGGGAGTTCTCGAGGGAGTGAAGCTTGTTTCGATAAGAGAGATACGGTCACGTGCGCGTATGGGTAGCTGGAGGTATGCTTTTTGACTTTCTTCGAATCACCATCGTGAGAATTGTCATCCAAACCTCGAGGAAAATATAAACCTACAAAATACTTACAAAACAACCAAAATTAATATGAAAGTCTCCTTCCAATGAGAGTGACGAGATAGCTATCTATCTATCTGTCTACGATCTATTCATGAATAAAGCTCCATCACCGTCAAGTCATTGTGCTCTTATTATTAATCAATTACTTGAAACAAAACCTAGAAACTTCATCGGCATCAACCCTTGGCCAAATCAATCGATATCCAACGAATTCTCGACCTCTCCACCAACAATGTCAATGGTACCCCTCTTGTGTTAGTCAGTCCTTTGCTCTACCTACCTACCATTCAAGGGAAGCTTCATAGACAGCTTTTTGTGTAAGATCATCTCGGCACTTGGGTCAGTCTGTACAACGAAATCACTAGAATCTCTCACCGTTCTTCAAATTCAACATGTTTCCAAGGGTGTTGCCCAAATTTCGCTCCATACAAATTAGATCTTTTAGCAACACAACACCAAGATCGGAAATCTTAGATATTAAAAGTTTGCCGGATAGAATCGTTCCTCGATATCATCGTAAGTTCCCAAGTGCGTCACTGTACCTTGATACAAATATTCACATGAAAAATTTGCAGGTTCACAAGAGAGTGATCTCCTTTCTTTACAATGGCCCTCACCACCTCGAAACCTTTTAATCATAAAGAAGGATCGTTCCCCGACCGTTGCTGAGGCTCTCCTTGAATATGTTAAGTTTGTAAAACCCATCTCCATCTAGAAATTAATCTCTCAGCTAACTAGGTGCCAGACATATACACTCAAATTACAGCAACACATCTCTCATCTTCGAGCAAAAGGTGGCCGAGAGTATACACAATTCTTTGGCATTTCCAATATACAATACTGATCTTCCATCCCTCTTACCATCCAAAGTTGATATGGTAACAACACTCGGTGGAGATGGAACCATTTTACATGCATCTTCCCTTTTCAGCACAACTCGTCATGTTCCTCCAATTCTTTCCTTCAGCATGGGTACTCTAGGGTTCTTGGGAGAATGGAAGTTTGCTGAATATAAAAGAGCCTTTCGAGAGGTCTACATGTCGGGTGCTGCTGCTGGATCTCACCTCTTTCAAGACGAGATGCATCCTCACATCCAAACATCTACTTCAGATAAGATTGACGATATGTCTGGCTGGTCAAATATGAGAGGCAAGTCCATGGGTTCAACAAGGAGTTCGAAGGTACTTCTCAGAAATAGATTAAAGGTAGAGGTCTTTGACGCTTATGGAAAAAGTGCTCACGAGAGTGCAGAAGGCGATGTGCATGCCATGAATGAAGTTATTATTCATCGGGGGAAAGAAGCACATTTAGCCATTATTGAAGTTTTTGTCAATAATCAATTCTTGACTGAGGCTGTTGCAGATGGTATGATCATTTCCACACCAACAGGAAGTACGGCATATAGTTTGAGTTCTGGTGGCAGTATCATTCACCCTCTCGTCAGTAGCCTCCTTTTGACGCCGATCTGTCCAAGAAGTCTTTCATTTAGACCTCTTGTTGTACCTGCAAATACACCAATAAAACTTCGATTGAGCGATAAAAATAGAGGAAGAGAATTGGAAGTTAGTATTGATGGACAAAGACGAAGTATTGGAGTTGGCGTCGGCATGGAAGTAAGAGTTCAAGGCGAGGAAATGGTAAAAGGCAGCAGCGAGTGGGGTGGGGGCGTTCCTTGTGTTATGAGAGGGGCCAAAAGTGGCATGAAGGATGACGATGGGTGGGTTGGAGGCTTGAATGGGCTGCTGAAGTTCAATCATCCTTTTGGCGAAGAATAATGTCCGAGATCGATTGAATGGTGGCTATCAAATTTATCACTGGGGCTGGATACATTTACTCCTCATTCGTAAAATGATAATTCAAAGGTACGTTTCCGCAATCTATAATTCCCTTCCATCAGACCTGACACTATTTAGGGTATCTCGAGCCACGTTGTCCGTGGCATGGATCAGGAACAATATTTGAGCCATGTTTGGTTTCAAACAGCCTCAAAAAACCTGCTATTTTGTGAGTGGACATTTTGTGTCGGCCAAAATCTCGAGACTAAGTCCATTACAATTTCAAATTGAGATGAGACGTATGCAATGAGTTTTAGTAATCTCTCCTCCGATTCTTTCACCAAATACAAAAGTTTGTACAATACGAAACTAGTAATATATGAGTCACCACGGAATTTTAATAGATCTCATGGCTTTTCGATTCAATTCTCATCTTGGTACGATTCATGTATCGTTGCAAGAAGCTTTGAACCATCAGAAGACTCTCTAATTCAGGTATTATGGAATAACAGTCATTCAGCCGCCAATTTGTTCGTTGGGAGTGTAGTGGAACACAACCACAGTGTCCGGTTGTGCCCCTCGGCACCTTCGGTTGATTCCCATTATTGCCGTGCTAGCAACGGCGATTGTGTAAGTGTATCGACGACTCCAAATCGTGACATATCTTCATCACATCTCCAATTCTGACTACGATCTCTTCGGTTTTCACCGAAGTCTAGTATGTCGTTACATATCTATATTCATAGTTATAGAACATTTCTCGAGCGCCCAAGTCACTTTGTTAAATCAGTATTTTTGAATCTACCACGTTGCTGGTGCATTTAGAACACCCAAGGTCTTTGTGAAATTTGATATTTTAGGTGTACGGCACGTTAGAATTTCTCCTATTTGGGTAACGCATGCTATCCTATCAAGGCGAAAGACGATCAGATTTGGTTTCTACGTGATACATGACCAATTGATGAAACAGTGCAGATGATACGTCGATCTAATCATCATCATATTCCTTTACATATCTTTCACGCTATTTACAAATTCGTCATACCTAATGGAACATAGTGACGTTCAAGCTAGAACGTAATTTAGGCAAGGCTGGAACCAAACCTCATCGACTGGAGTAGTGTGAGTTTGTATGCCCAGAAGCCACCAATAAGGAAAACTTTCTGTGTAATTTTCATCATTCCAGAGTAGTATCACTTGTTCTATCTCGTATTTTGATCTCTTGGATATACTTCTACATGCTCAATACGATTACGTTGACGGCCCCAAATCGAAGATCTGAAAGATCATCGACGATGAGGTATTTACTTGTCCGGAAGGTGGAATTCCGGCCAAGAATTCACCTCTGGCTGAACTCGACAACATCGTGCAATATTGCTAGTTTTTTTCTCTTGGAGTATAGTTGAGGCAGTTGTGAAATGGTGAGGTGGTGGAGAAATAGGTATATAAGGAGAGGAAGGAGCGATCAAATATTCTTTCTTCATCGCAACAACATCATTCAATCTTCATTTGATATCTATCCCATTCGACAAGCAACGATCAAAAACACAAATTACCCTTCAAACAAACCAAAAATTCCAATTCAACAACGTCCAAAAATCACTATGCATTTCACACAAGCTGCTTCTGCCATTTTGGCAACTCTCGCTTTCTCCTCTACAGCCTTGGCTGGTGTCCTAGAGGCAACTGATTCGTTCTGCTCCAGGTCCGCAGGCTGTGTTTGGCAAAACCCAGCTTCTTGGCCAGGTGTTTTTGAGTGCAGCTGCAATCTTGCTTCACCAGATGGAAAATCTGTGTATGGATTCTTACTTTCCTCACTCGCTTGAATTCAAATCCGCATCAAAACAATAAAATAAACTAACACATGCATCAGACTTCTTCTCCAAGGTTACACCGACAAGAAATACGAAGGATTTGTTTACAACGGTTACTCCACTGTCGGCGTCTGCAACAATATGCCAGATCTCTTCAACAAGAATACCCAATCAATGAACATTAATGTTGACAACACACCCGGTTGTTGGCTCTACACGCAAAAGGATGTAAGATTCCCCTTACATTTCAATACCCATTGACCATATTCCTTCTGAAATAAAAAGCAACTACTAACCAAGAGACAATAGTGCGTCGGTGACTACGCCGTCATCGATTCCAAGGGTATCGCAGAAATGCAAGGCTACTACTACAAAGGAGTCCAAAGTTGGATTTGCGATCCTTTGACTTCTTAAATTCTCTTCTCGCTTTTTTTCCCACCCAGCGATTGCGATTATATACACGATACGGTTTAGAGAAGAATAGAAGTTTTCTAGAGCTTGATGGATGGGCATCGACTGGTATTTGAGCGATCGAGAGCCGGCGATAATGTGTTGGAATGATTGGAGTTTGATGGATGGGAATGGGAGGATTTCTTTTTTGTTTTTCTCTTTTTTATCGGACTTCATGTTTTAGGGGCGATGAGTGGGATGGATTGAGTTTTCTTTGGTTTGGAAGAATATTGTGTGGTTTTGGAGATGATTTTAGGAGGGAACTTTCGAATACTTTTTCTTGGGGGAATCCAACATTCTCGCCTTTTATTTTAATTCTTTTAACTTTCATTTTTTATCGCTAGGTATTGGTAGTTGGTTGGTGTTAGGTAGCGAGTTATAATATTTATTGAAGTTACTTCATCTCTTTAGCTGCCGTGATTTGTCATTTGTTCCTTGGTACTTTTACTGCAATCTCGCTCTAATGTATCTAATTCCTTCCGACTAATCATCCAAGCTGTTACAAATCCGTTCCATAACCTACAGCAAACTTACCCACCAACAACCCACCTCAAACAGTATACCTAAACTCCGGATGTCTATGCCCCAACATCTCCGTATTCCCCTCCAACAACCTCCCATCCCTCTCCCCCCGCTCCCGCTTCCCATTCTCCCACTTACAATACCCCATTGTGATACTCGTCACGATCAAACACAAACCCAACATACCGAGATTGATGGCGTGGCCGGTGATATAGCGCGGGGCGTCGGCGGCGATGTAGGTAAATGTTGCGATGAAGGCGGCGATGTTGGCGAGGCCGATTTGGAGACCGGATGCCGAGGCCCGTACGTAGTGGGGTGAGGTGTTGTTTGCTAGCCAGCCTTGGGGGGGAAGGGGGGGGTTAGCTTGGAGTTGTGGTCTTAAAGTTCTTTTTTCTTTTTTGTTTGGGGGAAATAGAGAAGATGGGGGTTGAAAGTAAAGAAGAAAGAAGAAGGAAAAAGGAAGAAATACACACCCATAACAACAGGCGGACAAGCAAAACTTCCCGCGGCAACCAGAAATGTACCTCCATATTGGACGTGAGGTCTCGAGGTTGCAATGAGCATCACATAACCGATGATGGCGATGCTGGCACAAATGAGCATCAAGAGACCGCGACGCTTGAAGTGATCTGAGAGAGAAGTGACGAGGATTACGCTGAGGAAGGCAGTCATGTTTGGGGGGACCGTTAGGAGGTTTGCTTAAGGGGGTCAGGGATTAGTTCACTTGAGAGTATTGTTTGGAGTGAAGGTTAAATGAAGGGGGTAAATTACCATTTACCCTCGTATACCCCAACGCAGTGATGATAGTCGGTAAGAAGAGCGAAAACGAATAGATGGGCGTGATGACGGCAAAAAAATTCAAAGAAAGTAACCACGTGTTCCAATTGAACACGGCGAGCTTCACCCAGTGCCAGTCAAATTTCTCATTATCTATATTGGCCACGGGCGACGCCCCGCGGTAATCGAGCTTCATGCGATGGATTGCGAGGTAGCGTTGTTCTTCCGTGAGGAATGTCGAATGTGAAGGGGTATGGGGCAGGAAGAAAATCGTCACAATGCCGAAGAGAAGCGTGATTCCGCCTTCGACGAAGAATATGAATGGCCATCCGTTATACCTCTTTGTTTTTATTTCCGAGAGGCCCGTAGCGAGGAGACCTCCAAAGGCACCGGATAGAGGCGCAGCGCAGTAGAAGAGTCCAATCCGTCGCATCAGTTGGTGACGACGGTAAAACATGGCGAGGTAGATGATTATGCCGCCTAGAAGACCGCCTTCCATGAGACCGAGGAAAAATCGCGCGACGAGCAGGGATTTCCAGGTGGTAACAAAGCCGATGCAGAGACTTATGAGGCCCCAGCCTATGATTAGGGCGGGGAGGTAGTAGCCTGCGCCTATGCGCTTGACGAGCCAGTTTGAGGGGACTGGATTACGGTTAGAGTGTTGCTTGAGTGATTAAGTGATGATTGGGAGATTGACATACTATCCACGCATATGTATGGCACGTAGAAGATAGCGAGCGCGATGTTGAATTTGGTTCCTGTCAGAATATCCAAATCGGCAGCTAATCCATCGATTTTCGCATTGCCAATGTTGGAGCGATCGATGAAAGCCAAGAGCCATAGGCCAAATAGCCAAGGAACGATGTGTCGATCGAATTTCTTGGTAATGAGTTGATCGAGTTCTTTTGAGATTTGGATTTCTTCATCTGGGGGAGTGGTGCTTGGGGTTTCGAGTTCGGCGATTGCTGGTTTTTCATCTCGAAATTCTGAATTTGGGGAATTAGAGATATCTTCTGGGGTTTCTGTACTTGTTGTCATGGTTTGATTAGGTATCAGGAGATTGTCAGATCATGGATGGGATTCGAAAGACGATTTGTGAAAATTGTCGAAATACAGAAATTTCTTCGGGGAATAATCTAGATTTGCTTTGTACATGTGGATTGTTGCACAGCAGATGCATGATCAGCTACAACGTACGTTACGAATTCGGTGGCACCAAGTGTGTATGTACCGATCAACGGTGCGAGTCCACATCTGGAGGATCCGGCATTTCAAAGGCGGGGAAGGAAGGTGATGCGCGGGTTAACCGGGGGGCCATGTAAAAATGAAGCTGCAAGAGTTGGGGTCGGCCAATGAGGATTCGAGGTGGGAGATGCAGGATAAGGAATATGTAACATACCTATTTCAGTAGTTATCTGTGCATGCTTTGGTTAGACAATGAGGGCTACGAGTACGTGTGATGAGATAGAGTGCGAGACGTGTCTACAGAGCTTGAAATCTATTGAATGGTTGGAGCGAGGGGGCACATCCTCTCTCCTAGCGATGAATGAGTATTAATCATGTGATATTATTCTGATGAAGTGATTGGATGGAATTAAAATCTAATAGCCAATCCGAATCATGAATAATCTGCTTTACATTCTGCTATTCTTCAAAAAACTCGCGAATTTGAACATGCATTGGAACGACAGATATCCTTTTTGTTCCGAGCTTGTTTCGGTAACCCTTCACTCTATATAATTTAAGTAATTCATCCTATCATGTTGTATTATTCCAGACTTAGCAAGGTATGATTGTACCGAGGAAGAAAGTGCCATCTCTACCGAGTTTTGAAATGCCTAAATCGCACTACTGCCAATAGATTACTATCAAAGGAGCTAATTTAAACGATGCAAGATGTTCTTTTGGTCATACCGAAACTGTACACCACCCACCATCTGTAATTCTACTATTGAGAGTTTTTCTTTCAGCATCCTCCAATGCCACAAACTTCCATGAGGCTTTTTGATACCTCCCTGACAGACCATACAAAAGATAAGTACTGAAGTGAAGTATTTGCAAAAGTCTGGGAGTTTTAAGTGATGAAACCTTCATGCATCCTTGGGGTATGCAACGATAACTTCTGTGTTTTCGTCTAAGAATCTCCTTGCAGATTTCCGCAAGACTTGCAATGATCTGAACAGACACGGATCCTCGAACATCTATTCTCCTTTTCGATTGTTTTTCTGACAGCACACTTCATATATTCAAAACACCATAAACTCTCCGTCCAACCAAATTCAATCTTGAGATTGTCGAAGCTTCTACCTCTGCCCAAGCAGCTATCTCTATCCTTCCCAGACCAGTCTTGAGCCAGATCATCATAATTACCATGCATTCTGCAAAATTTTGATCAAATATCCTGTCCATTTCCTTGTCATAGGTATGCTCAGTGTGATGGAAACACCTGAACATAATTTGTTGCCCGGAAGCTATACATCCAAGAGAGATCCCCCGAAGTGTTAAAAAACAATCCGCATTCAGAAGGTAAGATACCGTAGAAGCTTTCGAAATTCTCGCAACTAATTTTATGCTTCTCCCAGTCAGATAGCCTCCAATGTGCAAGTTCGACATTGATATTACTATAGTGACAGGCGATATTGCGTTGGACTATATTGTCTTTGTCTGGCGAGCCTCTACCCTCGATTTGAATCCATTTCCCTTCGATATACTTCCTCTTTCCAGTCTCGAAGAAGCCTCGACGTATGATTAAGGCATGAGATACAATGGGTTCAAGTAATTCCATTCTTTCTCCGAAGAAGTGTTTTCTCTTTCCACTGTCGTTGCGCTTTGAAAATCGAGGACCTCGCGTATCTTGTCTTCCAGTACCTATAATACAATTAACGTTCGATGATTAAAATATGAAGCTGGAGAACTATCTTACTGCAAGCTCTGACGTCACTTCTGCGCGTCTGGTAGCAACAAACTCCTCCTCGTCTGCTATGAATCTCTGTTCGTCGAAACATCCCTTCTGACATCCTGCAATACTCTTCGATACTGTGTAGAGATATTGAGATACCTTTTTTGGCAACAGTCTTATTGATACACTGCGGCGTGTAATGAGCCAACACGATTTCAGTAGATATCGATTAATTCTTGACTTGCAGAAATCGCGAGGTTCAACTGACCTTTTAACGACTTTTTGGCAACTATGAGTTTTCTTTGGATCGACTTTTCGAGACGCGCTTCACCAAGATCGATGAGCACTAGCTTCAATTTCATCAGTTCTGCGATGAGGGCTTTGAACTCGATTCTCGCTTCATCTTTGTCGCTTTCGGTTTTTGCAATGGGAGGTCTGGATGGCCTCCCATATTGTTGATAGTTGACGAGTCTTGAATTTTGAGACGAGAATTTTGATTTCGTGTCCTCAATAGCGCAACAAAAAAGGAATGGGATTTGTAGTGTTGTTGACCACGAGATTGAGAGTGTAGATAAGATTAAGTGTATCGCGTACAAGACCAGAAAGAAGACTTAGAAGAAGAAGTACACTTCAGATCTGAGGACAACTTGGTGGATCATAGAAGTCAGAAGGCTGGATTCATTCCGTAATACCTCGTATTAGAAGGAACCATGACTAAGTTGCTTTGCATCTTCAGACGGCATTGAATAGATGGAATTTCATTTACCATCCGAGAGCTAGTAGCTTTGTCTGCCTGGCTACCGAGAATCATCTTGTATGACAAGGATCACTTCTCTGTCAGCTTTGGTTGATTATGTAGGTGGCGTTCTTCTATTTTCCAGTTGATTTTCAAGGTCGAAATAACAAGAATTTAATGATGAATAGGTCAAAAAACAAAAACAAATCGCCAAATGCTGCTCTTTCTACAGTACATTAGTGCTAAAATTCTGTTCTGCTTGTACTGATAGGAATTAGAATCACTGTATCTAAGACTGTGATATGAAAAGGTGCTTGAAGTAGCATTTAGAGAACGGTTTAGTCGAAGGGTTCCACTTTAACTATGGTCTATATGAGTAACTTATTCTATTTAATGAAATAAAGTGATCTATTCTATGCACGAACTAATACATCTTCTTCGCGTGTTTGATCGCATGCTTTGGTCTAAAATCTCAACACTCTTGCCTTCCCAATACATCTAGTGTCTGAGGATTCGGATCAGTCTCTAAACTAAACTTTGCGAATTTTCCCTTCTCTCTCAAGGTCTTCCCGTACTTCATAAAAATATAAGGGCTAATGAGCCATAAAGTTGCAACTCCAGCTAGTATCGAGCCGGCAACATTCGAACCCAAGCCATTATACATTCGGTCAGCAAACAAAGGGAATATACCAGAGAGAAGGGCTCGAAGGGTTGAGTATGCAGCGAAGGCGGAAGATGCATAGACAGTGTATGTCTGTATGTGTCAGTCAAGACTGAAAAGAAAAATAAGAGTAGGCAACTTACATCAGCTAGGTAATTTCCAAGTGCATACTCAATTTCATTCGCTGCAAATCCAGCACCTGCTAACCCTATCATCGGTACCACCCAGTCAATGCCATGAACTAAGGGTGGAGTTGTCCAAGCCATAAGCCAAAGGCCAGCTGCCAATGCTGGTGCTCCGGTAGCAAAGCCGATTATTTTATCTTCTGGTTCTAGTTCTTTCGTTTCTGCACGCTTCTTGAGATGAAAAAACTCTACCAACCTGACCGGAATACCAAAAATCATTCCTATAGCATATGCAAGGAATGCTAACGAGTATGAAGTCTGGCTAAATCCATATGGTTTGAAGACGATATCCAAAGACTCGGTGAAAAGAAACAGTAGAGAAAATGCTATGGCAGATAGGGTTGCCATTGTGAGGATGATGGGCTCCTGAAAGAATATTTTGGCTGGCTGAATGATGGCACTCTGACAAAAGGTATGAAAATCAGGGACATGATCATCTGCTGTTTGTGTGCGGAGTTTCAGTGTTCCTGCACATGATTGTATAGCGATAAGATGATCCCCAAGGAGTTTACTTGGGCGAGTTTCGGAGATGCCTATGAGAAGGACAACAAGTATGCAGACGGAAACAATAGAGCCAATGTGATACAACCATCGCCTTTATTTAGTCTTGAGTTAGCTTTGGGGTTCATTGTCGACAAATTAAGGTGCATAACTTAGGACCAACTCACCAACCAAGTACGCTAGTGACGTAGGTTCCATATATCGGCCTATTCTATTAGTCAGTCGAGATTTTTCAAAACTGCTCCCCCCAGCCGTTCCTTATTCTGAGAGACTCGAGGTTTTTGTCCGAGTTCACTTACCCTAGAGCAGCACCTAGTCCCGCAGATAGTACCCATGCATAGATTGCATGGCCTTGGGTTGCAGGTTCCCATATATCTTCTAGACTGCCCACATTAATTGTTGAAGGAATCGATATCGTCGCACCCATGATAAAGCGGCCAATGTATACTCCTGCAATAGATGGTACAAGTCCCGTAATCATGCAGCTAAGCGGTAGCAAAAGAGCTGCAAATATGAGTATCGGTTTTCTTCCGAAAGCTTCTGAATATGGTGGAAAGATAATGCTTCCCAGAGCTCCACCGATTCCGTACCTATGCAAACAGATGAGTAAGAACATTGTGAAACACAAACACTCGGTGTATACACTTACATGAGAGAAAAGGCAATGAGTGACTGATTCTGTGAAATGCCATATTCTGTTGCTGCTCGCGTTGCTGCGACTAACTTTGAAATTGTTAGTATACACTGTGAAAAAAAGGATTTTGAGAAACAAACACCCCCGGATTCTAGCAAAGCACTTTGATGGAACGAGTTAATTTTACAATATTTCCAATTGACAATGGGGAATGACATACCCAAATGTATCAAGCAAGAAAATGCAAGCTGTATTCACCAGTTTGCGTTTCAAAGGCCAATTTCGAGGATGATTTTGATTTTTTGGAAGCCAATCGATGACATTATCGTCTGATAATTGGAGACCCAATTCATCGATTCTTTGTAATATGTTTGAAATTGAATCCACTCCTGTAGGCAATGATGCCTCACTGAGGTCTGAAGTAGCCAAGGACTCTGTCGGCTTTTCAATATCTATCATGATGAATTTCTTTATCAAACAAGTTTCTCAAGATATGCCAAGTCGCCAAAGAACGTGTAATCATGATGATAGCTGTTGAACGTCTTGGAAGTCTTGGTAGATATGGTGTATACAGCACTGACCCGACAGAGAAGAATGTATTGACGGGATAACACTAGTAAGACAACGCCATTTAAGGAGAATCTAGTGCTGTCGATCATCACATCTAGCGTACACCGCCACTCTCCTGTATCGTGCAAATGATACTTGAGCAGGAGAGCTCACCTTCGAGGAAGAGATGAAGACTTCTTGAGCACTGTTCTGACATTGTCATGAACACCATCCGTTTGACACGTGTGTCGATTTCATACCGATATGCCGGCTCTTTTTGAACGGTGTTCTCCAACAAAAGTGGCGTAAGATTGACGAAAGCCCCATAATGACACAGACAAAACGAACAGTTTCAACTGCTTGGACATCTTTACTGACTCCAGACACCTACAAAAACGGGCCAAATTGCCGCGCTAAAGCACGGCATTGTTAATGCCGGATCTGCTCACTAGAACGGACTCAATGCATCATAAGATTCGGTCTTTGTAAATGACTAATTTATCGAGTACCGACTGGTTTGATGTGTAAATAGGTATATGAAATCTTAGCAAATGGGCGAACGAGATCCAAATCAATTTTGTAATGTGATCCATATGAAACAAAACAAAAGAAGTATGGCCTGAACTTTACTGAGATTACGGATGCATAGAATACTGCGAGTCATACAATGTCTCGTCCTCCTATTCAAGGTATCTGAAATACTACGCCACTTCAGCACGAACTACATGCCACAATACCGGTAGCTATCCATACTCAATACCTAATCATCAGTGAGAAACAAAATATGGAAAGGTTCCTCGAAGCTTTTCGGTGATAGAGTGGTTCCCTGGAACAGAAATGTACTTTATTTGTTGGAATATTGGGAACTGCTGAAACTCACAAAGGTGTTCGTTACAAGAAGTAGAAATTACAGCAAGGTTCCCTTCCCAAAGGACCCAGGAAGACTTTGCGATTCGACTCATATCAAGGCTAACAACTGATAAATCATCGATGTCGATCTGTGCAATGAATTTAGGTATACTCCTGAATGTCGTGCAAAGGAAACAGATGTTGACGAAACAAGATTGGCGATACTAGAGACGCCATGAGTCCTAGTATAGATACCATATATGAGGCATTTTGTCCATGGCTTCATATGAAACTCCGGCAATCCATTTGCCTCTCTCCCGAAAAAGGCATGGACGTCTGGGTGCGAATGTAATCAGAGTATATGTAGAAAGCTCAATCTTGATTCCATGCGATATTTCTTGCGAACCACCCATCACACGTTTTGCGATGAAGAAATTTTCGGATGGTAATGGACGGCGACTTGCTAAGAGAACTTCGCGATGTGGAGGTGGAGGTGGAGGTGGAGTTGGGGTGGACCGTGGAGGTAATCTTCGTCTCACCGCTTCCATGATATATACGGGCAGAATATTACCAAAGGTGGGGATCGCGGGGGTGGCCATGTCGGCCTTTTGCTATTAAACAACCGACTCTACCTGACCTGAGTACTTCTGCAACCTTTCTTCTCTTCTCATCTTGTCATCCCTTCTTTTCTGGCTGACAATACAAAGATGCTACCCGACCTCCAATGTCAGCTTGCCATTCATCTCAGCCAAAGAACGAAGACGTTCGGATATTAGAGTGCACTCACTCATTTGCTACCTCTTAAATCCGTTTCTGTCATTCTCTTGGCTGCCCCAGTTACCTGAAAGTAGCCAGGGTATAAAATGTCTCCATTCAAACATTTGCATCTCATTTGATGACGAGGATCAGCAAATACTTCTTTTGTAAGTGGAAAACCAGGTATATAGATGAAATCGAAGCCATATTCAACTGTTCACCGTCGATATGCTGCAATCATGCAGATGCCAAGAATGGGTTATCGCTCGCTACAAGTATTACGAGTATATGATGATGGTTCTTTCTTTCGTGCTATGATAAGTCTATCATTGTTTTTCTGTCATCGTGTTTGTTTGCGCATGATTGAATATCTGATTGATATATTATCGCAATCTATTGATTACAGTCTTTCAACCATGTCCGCCTTCTCACGCTCCAGCACTGGCATCTCCGTAGTCCAGCACTTCTCCTCACTCATAAACGGCAAAACAATCGTCATAACAGGCCCTTCAGCCAATAGTATCGGCGCCGAGACCGCCATCTCACTTGCTCATGCCTCTCCTTCTATCATCCTTCTAGCTGAACGTTCAGAGGCCAAAATCTCTCCTGTTATCAAAGAAATTCATACTCTCAATCCCTCCATCACGACCCATTTTGTACCTCTCGATCTCGCTTCTCAGAAGTCAATAAGAAAAGCCGCTTCTTTGATCAATAGCCTGGTTGAAAAAATCGATATCCTGATTAACAATGCAGGTGTAATGGCAGTACCAGCTTATCAAACGACTGAAGATGGAATTGAATTACAATTCGGTTGTAATCACATCGGTCATTTTCTACTTACCAATCTAGTTCTGGAGAAACTTTTGACGGCAGGGAGAGGAGGGCAAGCGAGGATTGTGAATGTCAGTAGTACTGGGTATGAGCTCGGGGGTGTTCAATTCGATGATTGGAATTTCAACGTATGGATGTTGCCCAAATCCAACTGTCCATGTATTAATCACACGAGTAGGAAGGAAAAGACTACGATCCTTGGCAAGCATATGCACAATCTAAAACGGCGAATGTTTTGTTCTCTAGCACTTTGGCCTCCAGACTAAAGGATAGAAATATACAATCTTTTGCCCTTCAGCCCGGATGTGAGTTTTTCGAAATCCTCTTCAAAAGGGCCAGCAAATGTTAACGAAAGTCCCAGACGTACCAACAAGCAATCTCCAAGCTCATGTCACTTCAGAAATGTGGAGCAATGTATTGCAACAAATTTCCGAATCTTCGGGCGGTATATACCCCCCAGTCACCAGCCACACGCAGTGCATATCAAACTGACACCCCTCCAGGCCAAGAATTCGAACCTCCAAAAACACTCCAAGAAGGATGTTCTACCACCTTAGTCGCGGCTCTAGATCCATCTATCTCCGGTATCTTCTCGTCTTCTCTCGTCTCCTCTCCACTCCCCTACACGACCTCACAACACAACCCTAACCACTAACTCCTCTCTAGAATCATCCGGCGGGTTCCTTCAAGACTGCATAATCAGACCCGTACCTCAAGATCACGCAGTAGGCGTAGGCAACCAAGTTCGATTATGGGATTTGAGCGAGAGGTTGGTGGGACAGCAATTTGACATTTTCATTTGAGAGAAGGTATAATGATTCTTATTCAAGGGGCACTTATCAATATGTATTATTACTGGTTAGTTGTAGCAGCCCATAGCGGAAGCAAATCCCATCTTGTACTTGTAGCAGGCATCTGGAATAAAATTATTAGGCAGTTTAAAATGGACTATTCAATGTAGAGAATGACTAGGACGATCATTTCACAACTATATTCCCTATCCAAATCCAAATCGCCTTGAATCTCAAGCCCCACCCCAGCGCCTTCAACTGCCGCATAACAACAAAAATCATCTCCTAACCATAACACCATATAGTCACTCAACCCTTACCACTCATCACTCAAACCTCTCAAACCAATAACTCTTACCAACACAACAGACCTGACTCTGAAGCAAACAAACAAACAAACATACATACATACATGCATAATAAAACATATCCTATCTCCCATCTCCTATCTCCATCACTTAATAAAAAGGGGGGAAGGGAAGATAGATAGAGAGAACGAAAGAAGCGAGATCCCATCCATCCATACTGCCCAGATCATGCATGCGTACGCAGACTCGACAAGTGAAGTTTCATCCACAGCTTCTTCACCCAAAATCCAATCACATGGCAAACATTACTCATACCACATCACATTACAGCATAGAAGAGCAAATCACAATCAAGCACCGTGCGAAATAAACTCGTCCATTAAACTCTGATCTCGAGACTGCAATTAAGCGCTCAAAATTAAATTCCTAAACTGGACCGCCATTTCAATCTCCCCCCCAAGATCACCTGCCTCCATTCCCCGCCAAGCATCTCATAATTTCTCCTCCCAGAATGATGCGTCCAGCCATCTCTCGCTCTAACTCATATCGCGTCGCCAAGGGTATATTAAAAATAGTTATGTGTAAAAGTTCAAAAGGTGAATAAAACCAATTTTATATTGATTTGAGTGAAGATTTTTCTCCCATCCGTCAATGTCGATACGATTTGAGGGTATGAATGTTGAATAATATGTCGTAATCGTCGTACTTAAAAAGCAAAGTCTCCAGTAAAGTAAGTGGAGTAGTTGTTGAATATAAAAAGGATGTATGTGCAGAAGTAAAGCTTGTGGAGAGGCAGAGATACCGAGCGCACGAGGATTAGCACAGGCTCAAGGTCATCGTCCGTTATCCCACAAAAAGTATCAAAAACGCCATGCTCCCGTACTCGCTGATGCGAGGGGGCATATCCCATTTCCCATTTCGGTTTCCCATCAGATCGTCAATTCGCGTGTTGAAAAATAAATAATTCGATCAATGCTCGCCGGCAATAGGTTCACGCTAATTCCCGCCATATGCAACCATCCCAAAACTCCATGCTGAAATTTATACAGAACCAAGTCGTAAAAGTGCTTCAATGGCTTCTCGCTCTTGAGAATCTGCAGAAGCCATGTTCAAAGCTGTGAAACCGCTAGGGGTGTGAGTTCGTGCTGGTGCTGGAAGGGAATGTCCAACAACAGAACGCAGCCCTCCCCTATATAGATGAGAATTGAAAACTTGTGGAAGTGGCCCAGAAGTGAAGGGTCCAGATGCTGAATAAGAAGCTGCTCGCAATGCTGCGGCTCCAACAGCCGCCCAGTCCTCTTCGTCTGTTACATCATTTGGGTCGTCCTCCATCATTACGTCGTCTCCAACCTCAGATGAGGAAGAGCCCGACTCATCGCCATCCAAAGACATTTTGTCGGCCTCATCAGGCATCGAGACATCATCTCCGTGAGAGAAAAATGCCGAATCCCCCGCCCAACTTGACCCTGGTTCATTAAGACGTGTTCGCGTAAATGACCACCCTTGGTTGTTGGCGATTGGCATCCCAATCGGATAGGTATCTGGTAAACTCGGTGGTGGTGAATTTCCAAAAGCTCGACCCATTCTTGCCGGATGTCCCTTTAGTCTCGCGTCCCATCGGCCCCAACCCACTTTCTCGAACAACACATTTCCTTTTACACCGCCAGCCTCACCGCCATTACCACGTCCCTCCAAAGCGCCCACAACAAGTCTTCTAGCTTTCGCGGGAGGAATTCCAGAAAAGCCGGGGACTGAAGTAGTGAGATAACCCATGATGTGCCGGATAGCAAGGGGGCCATGATCCAACAGAATTTCAGGAAGGTGGTGTTTAGCCAATAAACTAGGGGTAATGGCACCAGTGGTATCCAATCCTGGCGATCCGATATCCGACGTTCCTTCATTTCCACTTCCGTCGTGTAAGTCTAGGTCGGATTCAACATGCTCCAAGTTGAGTTGGGGCAATGGCGAACGAGTACCAAAAGATTTGGTAACATGCGGAGGTAGGTTGGGAGAAATAGAGTTCGGAGGAGTAGGAAGAGGGTGGCCATTGGTCACAGGCACACTCCGAGCCGCTACAGCAGTTAAGCTGTCTCGACCAAAGGATGTTGGGATCTTGCGAGCAGATGAAGCTATTGAAGCCATTTTTGTTGTTGGATCAGTTGATTTCTTTCTCTACAAGTGCGCGACACAAGATTAGTATTCATCTTCTCGAAAAGACGTGTTGGGTTGGCATGAGGGTGACTCGGAAGAATCCCACACCAACACCTTGATGGGCTGACTCACTTCGATTTGCGATAGAAAGGTTGCAAGCGAATTGAATGATTTGGTAATTTAATTCGAAGCAACTGTTGATCGTGTATTGAAGAAGCAAACGGAACGGAGGGGAACCTTATCGTCGAAACGGAAGAAGTTATTGAGAAGATGTAAGAGTGAGTCAGGTAATGGTGGGCGTCGACAGATAAGTGAGCTATTTGGATCGGGTCCGGAAATGGAAGCAAGCAAGTGGGAGTGGGAGTGAAGTTTATAGAGGAAGAGCGAACCAACTCGATTGCGATTAGACAGACTGCGAGGTAAATTTGAGATAAAAGTAGAATGGAGGAGGCGACGGTGTATTTGAAGAAAGTAGAAGAGATTAATAAAGTTTATATGGGAAGATTGAATTAATGTATATTTTTATATTTCGAGCTTTGGTCTTTGTCTGTCTGTCTGTCCGTCCGTCTGTCTCTCTCTCTCTCCCTTGAAGTTGGTTGTTGCACCTTGTTGCGCACCTTTCTGGTGTTTACAAAGGACTGGGGACCTGGTAATTACTACCCAGTGGGTGTAGGTGTAGGTACATGAGGATGATCCAGTGGAATAGACCGGATCGATTTAAACAGGGTATACCCAGTTTAGGCTTAGCGTGATCACACTCGTACATTAGCATCACGCTAGTATCCCAAATGCAAGACCAAGAACTTCCAAATCTAGGCGTGGCAGTAACTAGGGAGACCCCTGTGTGCTAAGAATTCACGAGTTATGCAATCTTTTTATGTATCCAATCACAAATCGATAAATGAAGTATGCAAGTCCTCGTGATTTATGATTTGTTAATATCCATCATCTGGTATTAACTTCTTCATGAATGTCTCGAAAATCCCCAAGACGTCGGTCTGGTCTGCGCCTTCTCTGCCGTGTACATCATACTCGTTGCATTCATAGCACAGTCACTGGTACAGTCACTGGTACGTACTAGGTATTAGATATTTGAGAAAGTTCACTGGTGGTAGGTAGCAGTTATCAAAGAAATGACGCTCCGCTGGCTCTCCGAGGGCCACTGCCGTGGAGGCAGACTAGATAACTAACACAAAAGTTTGATATCGAGCGCAGCGAGCTATGGGGGTTTGGGGGCTTGCCCCCATGGAAAGGCAAGCAATTAATGCCTCCTCTCAGCACTTTGTCATTTTGCCTCTGACTATACGAGTGTCAGAACGCAGTAGGATATTACTAACATTGAAAACCGGATTTATATTGATTTGTGTTTATATTGAATTCCCTCAAAATAACCTGCTCAAGTCATACCAAGCGTACGTAGGTAGGTATGTATGTAATACTAAGGTCATACCAGTATCTTCTCATGCATACATTTGGGCTCACCTGAGCAAGTAAGAACACCTTGGAGAATAATTGACGACTTCGTACATCTCATCTACCTCAATCTCATCCATATGAGCAGGTAACTAGGATTTTCTGCCAACATTATCCTGACTGTACTTTCGCTTCTACTCTTTGCTGAGTCTTCTTGTGGCGCATTAAGAAACCAGGTGTCTAGCCAGCCACACATGCTGATAAAAGAAATCTCACAGTATCAACATCGTACAGCGTTTACAGTAATAATAATAACATTTGGTAATAACTCACTGTACAGAGTACACGATTCCTTAATTTACAACTTTCCATATCAATGTGTGGTATCAAAAACTAGGTTATCTGGTATCTAAACCCTAGCTGTCATGTCCATTGCCCTCGTCTAAAGCCCTATTGCCCCCCTCTCCAAGTGATCGACGGACTTTAACAAGTGTCCGTCCGTACATACCACGCATTCGTTCTTCCACGCACACACTAGAATATTTGAATAAATCCATTTCAACCCTAATTTTCCTAGTCGATAAGGGAAATGGCAGCTTATTGCCTCGGATAAAATGCCCCAAAAGATCGACTTTTAAGGGACCATCCGACCATTCCATACCAAGAGTGAGGACTGCTGCGTATGCCTTGGTTAGTATCTTGTAAAGCACAACCTAGAGAGAAGAACCATTCACGTTTCTTTCAAATTTCATCTTCATTGGATTCTGCATCAACGCCAGTACCTGATCAGCGGATATTCTCGAACCATTAGTATAAAACACCGCGTATTCATTGTAAACTCAAATTGTTGCTTTGGCAGTCATGACTTATAAACTCGTAGTTGATGATTTCTCCACTTTTTACTCGAAATCATATCTTGATAAGTTGATAACGATTTCTTGACTACACTATGACTCAGTGAACTTTACCCGGAAGAGCCAGACGAGAATTGCGAAACCGGCGAACTCCAATTGTTTTCTAGGTTGGGATTTCTAAATTCACATATCCGGAAGATTTAATGCAACTTTCATACATCTTTCCTCAGCCACGCGAATGCTATCGTGCTTCTCCAAGGAAGAGGTTGCTGAGAGAGGTACGCGATCCGGGGAAGTACGGGTAGCGAAGTGGCACGCACAATCTTTTAAACATTGAGCTTACCGAAATTCGGACTTATGGAAGGAAAGAACAGCAAAAATCTCCGTAGATAACTCGAAAGCTTGCGTTCCGCACAATTCTCTCTTTGTTACTTTTATGCCCAATCCGTCATGTTAAGCCGAGGAAGCACCATAGACTGACCCGACACATCGACGTGAAGATGGGATGGAGAACGCTAATTATGCAATCAATTGCAAACAACCGACCAAGCCAAAATCAAATGGGTATTGCTAACGCCCAGCTCCACCATTAAGTACATATTTTCTACATGCCTAAACAATATATGTTAGAGATTGTGGTGATGGTGGGGCCGTGTGAATGGAGTCATGATGTCACCTACTGCTTTCAAAACACTTAACCTCTCCGTGGAGTCAAGAAACACCCGATGATATTGCGTTAAACTTTCCTGAACAACGGCCTGACGTGTATTCTGTCCTTCACAAATGGCTTTCATCTTGAGCTCCATCTGTTTTCTCAGAAACGGCTTGCTGAGGCTGACTTCAAACTCCATGTTATCATAGCCTTCCACTAGGGCGACTCCAAGTGTGGTCGGGATGAACTCTTCCACTCCACCTCTGCCCCCCGCATCTGCAGCTACAGCTCCCCCTCTACCCCCTCTTCCACCCCTTCCACCGCGTCCGCCACGTCCTCCTCGGCCTGCAGCTGGCGTGTTGTCATCATTATTTCCGGCGGCGGCCCCACCTGCCTTGGGCCTTGTAAACACGTATTCACGCTCTTTGATTTTAGCAATATGCTCGGCCATAGTTGCATCAGTCCCGATTCCATTTGCGTCCATTAAAGCAATAAGATCAGGCTCGGTTAAATACCCTGGAGCTGTTGTTTTCCCATCCGTGATCATGGCCTCGTCAGGTTCAAATCTTTCCCCAAGGGTAAATTTTGGCAGTGTTGTACTGCTATTCCATCTCTCGTAAACATAAACGTCCAGATAGTTTTTTGCCAGCACGACTAGTCCATGCGTGTGAAAAGTTTCCTCTCCATATTCAAGCTCCACGTCAGTTGCCTGCCCTTTAGCATCTTCTGAGCAACAGGCTAGGAACCTCCGAACAACAAATTCGTAAACCCGAGCTTCTTCTGGCCTCAAAGCAGTGGATGCAACGTATGTCACAGGATGAATAGGCGGATGTGCCTTATCATCATTTCGGCCTTCTCGAGGCCAATGAAATCCTCCATTTACCAAATTCTGAGCAAATGGTCCCCATCGATTATCTTGAACTTGCTTTTCAACTAGCGCTCTCAAATTCATACCTTTGTCGAATCGATCAGTCTCCGTTCTCGGATAACTAATAAAACCTTTTGTGTATAGGCTCTCTGCTGCAGTCATCGCCACCTGACTGTTCATATTCAGCCAACGACTAGCAGCTTTCTGTAGCTCGACGGTAGTTAGAGGAAGAGGCTTCCACTTGCTAGTCGGTTTCTCCTGTACCTTGGTGACTTTAGCAATTTTTGCAGCAAGACAACGTTCAAATAATATGATCACAACTGCTCGGTCAAATAGACGATTGCGCTTCCAATTGAAGATGACATTCATATTGTCGCGACTGTGTGTAACCTTGATGCTCCAGAATGGTTCGGGTACGAAGTTCTTTACTTTGAAATATCGATCAACGACGAAACCAAGAGTGGGAAACTGACAAGAACCTAGACCACTATTAGTATGCAAGTGCCTCATTAAGATGGGTATGAAGTTGTTTACCGTAGCTCAACATTTTTTTTGCTAGTGGCCCTCCTAACTTTTGAAGGTTGGTTGTCTGAAATCGTGTGAATGCATACCCAATCCTTAGATCAAGTTCTATACGAGCAGCCACAGCGTCTACTTGACGTTGATCTAAATCGACTGGATTTTTAGCTGCTTGAATTACATGCCTTTTGTAATCAGCTACAAATCTGAAATTACAGAGTGTAGATTCATTCACTTACGCTCGCTCAATATTACTGAACCTTGCCCTCTTGATCTCAATTCGTGGGTTGCCTTTGAGTGCTTGAGCTCTCACTTCACCGCCAATATGCTCTCCCTCACGATCACAATCAGTCCATATGAAAAGAGCCTTAGCTCCTCTTGCCTGAGCCTCGATATTCTGTGCGATATCTTTCTTATCCTATGGAAATGCATCAGTGGAAAAATTGCCCAGCAAAGGGTGAGATCAAATCACCTCAGCAACAGATTCGATGACCTTGGCTCGAAAAAAGAGTTCTTGGGGTGGAGGGTCAGTCCAACCTTTGTGAGTTGGAGCAACATCGAGAGAGGTAAGATGCCCCATGACCGAAGTCATAACCGCATTGCAATTACCCCATTGTCCACCAAAATCGAAGGTGAATGAGTAATTCTTGATGTATTTGTTGCGAGTATTTGCCTTGTTGGATCGTTAGATAACGATAGTTGTAATGTAGCAATATTTGACATTGCGACTTACCGCTTGAGCATTGCCCCCAGCTAAATGATTAGCTACAGCTTTGGCAATCGAAGGTTTCTCTGCAACACAAAGAATCTTTGCAGCCATCTTGATATTAGAATCACGCGTGATCATTCACGTGTGGTTCTTTTCCATCGCCGACTCCAAAGTCTACGAGGCCTTGTGGATGAAGCTCTTATAATACTTTCCTCTGTGACACGAACGAACGAACGTCTTGGTCTATAAGCATTGTTTTGTTACTCAGCTGCATAGAATTGATCTATTGGGGTATGGACTTGCAAGAGGATCATGAAACTACCTATTTACAGAGTTTTTGTATTACTCGGTATCAGTAAGTAAAGATTATGTACAGAAATTGATGCCTGTGTTGTTGCCATCAATTCCAGGTTGATGAGATTTTATAATGGACGGATCCGAATACGAAATAGCTGCAGGTCTGACTTGCATAATAGTTATGCGTTATATATATTTATACAATTATTCAATGAAGCCGTGGCTCATCGAATTCGTTCATTGGCTGTAGCTCTATAAATCCATGTCGGTACATATATCCCCGCTAAGTGCTAAATGAAAAACGATGTCATCCAGAGCTTCAAATTCAAGCTTCACTCCATTCACTCTGTCAACTCTACCTCTTTCGCCTCTCTGGCAAACATCAATTCTTTGTAACTTCGAGGATATATTCGAAGTTCGCCTGAAAGAGCTAACTACCACCCTTTTATTCACTCGATATCGAGCAACAGAGAAATTACCTTGCCACAAGCATGGCGTTGCCGGTCATTAAAGCAATCGAGGATTGTTCAAACATCACGAAAACAGTCTGGCCATATCTGCCACAATTGTACGATTTACCTCAGCAAGTACTTCAATCATATTCAAATCCTACCGAGCTTCGAAATCTTTATCTGGCTACGAATCCACTCATAAGTGCCTTCGCATTCTCGTTGTTTTTAACGCCTGTATTTCTATTGGTTTCGGAGGTCAACAAAAACTATTCTCAAGTCGACAGATGCTGGAGTATCTTGCCTACCATATATAATGCTCACTTTGCCATCTATGCACACCTTTCTGGTCTACCAACAGGGCGACTAGACAATATCCTCGCTTTTAGTACAATATGGAGTGTATGTAGGACCCCTCTCGATTCAGGAATCTGGTTCTGACAAACAACAGTTACGCTTGACATATAATTACTGGAGAAAGGGTGGCTATAGCATTGGATCCGAAGATTATCGCTGGTATGTCTCTCCTTGATGGGTATGAATTAGGGCTAACCACTTCTCAGGGAGATTGTCCGACGAAACTTTCCTCCAGCACTCTTCTTCGTCTTCAATATCGTCTTCATATCATTGGCACAAAGCATTCTGCTTTTTCTAGTTGCAACGCCATCATATGTTATGCTCTTAGCTGCACGATATGGAGTACCGTGGACGACTGCAGATTTGATATTCTCGAGAGGTCTTATCACTCTTGTTGTGTTTGAGTATTTTGCAGATGGACAACAGTGGAGTATGTGATTATAGATATCTTTTCTGTTGCATAGCTAATGTTTCTCAAAATTAGACTATCAAACCGCGAAGCAACAATACTTGAAGACCGCCAAGGTACAAGGAGGATTCGATCAAGAGTCGCTCGACCGCGGCTTTGTGACCTCTGGTCTCTGGTCCTTCAGCAGACACCCAAATTTCGCCGCTGAACAGACTATATGGGTAGTACTCTATATGTGGGGCTGCTGGACTAGTGAAGTATTATTCAACTGGACATTTGCCGGTGCCATGTCGTACTTGATTCTTTTCCAGGCCTCAACTTGGTTGACCGAGCTCATAACTGCAAAGAAATATCCAGATTATCAGGAATACCAAGCACGGGTTGGCAAATTCTTGCCTAACATCTTTTCTACTGGGCCAATTTTCACCAAGGTGGAGAAGAAAGCAGCCACAGCCGTCAAAGGCGATCGAAGAAGGGTATCAGCCAGCAAGTAACCAGATAGCAGTACCAAATGAGGTTTCGATTTTCCATCCTTACAACTTCAAACAGCTGGTCAGGATAGGCAAATGACAAGAGAAGGGCGAGAGAGTATTTGCTTAAAACGTACAGAATAGATTTAATTATATTCCCTGGAATCGTCACAACATAATATTTACAATTACTGTCGCTGTACATCAACTCAGAACCCACATTCATTTCTATTTAAATTCATGTTTCCTTGTATTACAGAGCAAAGCTGAACTCCAAGACCGTTCTTTCTGTAATGTTTCCTGCCCTACACCTTAGATTCGCCTTGCTAGCAAGTTTGGCAAGTGCTATTACAATAATTTCACCACTGCAGAAATCATTCCCATCCTACTTCTACTTGACTCTACATACTTTATCACACCTATTCTCCATCACCTTTCATCAAAAACTCAGCGACCTCACATCTTTTAAAATCATTGATCATCTTATTCCCTTGACTATTAACGACATATATATTTCAAAATATTTCGCGGAATAATAGAATTTTATCCCCCATCGCTATCATCTTATGGAAGATTGTACCACAGCCAGCCCTGGAACCTATATTATCTCTTCCAATCACACCATTATACTATACGCATAAAAAGCAGTTGGGTCTTGGTAGTGCCACATCGCCATGCCAGGACAAACACAAATTTGATGTGAGAACACTCAGACAAGACTCACAAAGGTCTGAACTGGAAGGACACAGCCTACCGCCAGACACTCATGGTAGTCTACAATCATCAGTGCCCCCGCCTCCATATTGTTTACAAGATGAATATCCTCCCTGTGACCTAGGACACATCTCGACTACAGATAACTCGGCAAACGAACAAGTTTTGAATACCACGAACATTCAAGATCGTGAGTTGTGCCCACAAGTTTCTGAATGGAGAGAAGATTACAACATCTTCAATCTTACACATAGACCGGGCAAGCAACCTCCTGACTACAAGACTGGCTCTCGAAGGAATCGCGGACAATTCAGATCCGAGATATGGGAGGCTCCAGAAAAGAACCTAGAGCTGAGAACAATACAAATTTCCAAACCGAGGAGATACATCTCCCGCACATTCCCTGCCGATTCTTCCACGCAGCCATATCTCGACCAATGCTATGATCAGCCATATGGATTCTCTCCAAGGACCGCGCTTCCAGAGGCACATGAAAATACAAAATCAGCCCAAGATCTATGCCTCGAACTAGATCATCTACAGAAGCAAGTGGCATATTTGAAATCTGCAATCATACCAGCCGAGCAAGAATTCCACTCATTAGCTGCACGTTTACCAAGAAGCGGCAAGGATGGTCCACACTTTGATATTCCAATCATGACTGAAGAAGAACGCATGATATCTCAGAGAATGCATTGGTTGCACGAACAACTCGTGATCATACGGCAGGAGATTGCAAGCAAGGAGCGTGCACGTGAGTTCGCCGTTGGAGAACTGGATAGGGTTAGTGAATTGAATGATCGCCTGTCACAGCCACTTAAGGATATGGCCAGAGCGATGAATGAAAGGAGTTTAGGGAGGAGATGGCTACAGGGGGGACTACCATGGGCTGATGCTGTGCATATCGGGAGTGATGTGCCGGATTTTGCTATGATTATGACACAGAGAGAGTTACAATAGGAGGGAGAACTTTAGTATGTACATGATTTGACGTGGTGGGCGGAAACAGCGATTGTTAGTTCTTCAGCGTTCACTATCAAATAGAATATTCTTGACCACTAGAAGTAGAGATCTATTAGGTCCCTTCCCGTATCGATGTGGACAGGTGAAGGGGATGAAGATGGATGTACTAATCATGTTGTAATATCCCCCTTGTCCAATGCCGCAGAGATATCCAAACTTTACAAACCTCGGTGATAGACTTAAGTCCCGGCTGAGATGTAATTTTTCATGATTGTAAATCACGGGTATTCCACTGGTAAGTCGTTGTGCAGTATCACTCAAGATAGGATACCTTTCTAGACAATCAAGAACTCTTCACTGAAGTCTCGAGTGGAATATAATAGATTGACATCTCAATCTTCAGTAATGAAGAGCTGGCTATAGAACGTACGACGAGAGTAACATTAATATTGGAGCTCAATAGGATATTGGACGTTTTAAATTTGGAGTGTTCAAATTGAAGTATTATCAATGTGTTCTAGGGTTCTGTCAAACGCAGATGCGTGAATGTGTTTGACTGATTGAGATTGGATGGATTGTCAATATACATGCATTTGAAACGAAAGCCGAGATGATGCGAATGTGGGTGTATGAAACGATATACACATATGAGTATTGATATAACACGCATGTCTGAAGCCCCAATCCTATGATTCTCATCCGTAGAAACTCAGTTGACAGTAGAGCTGAAGGGTTGGAGAAGTGATATTGCAGGATGCATACACCCGACGCCATCGGTTTGGTTCTCAATGGATGCCATGCGTGCACGCAATCACGGAACGCTAAGCAATGACATATATGAAGGTATGGAGAAAGAAGATATTCTATTTTGCATTACATTTCGAAATTTGGCGAAGAAAGCAAAAAATGATATATAAATGCTAAACATCGAGAAGCAAATGTATAAACAACAAACGTCATCAGGATATATAACCTTTCCATTCTAGCAGCCACCCACCTAAAACCAAACATATAGGTATCATTCCCCCTCGGCCAATATCCCAGAATTCTCCATCCAGACCCAACTACTCCACATATTATTCGTCAATCTTATAGCATATCCATATCCATCCTGTGCCCAGCACATATTTTTCGTCGACTTGTCTCATATCACTCAAGCTCCTCCTCGAATCCCAAAACTCCTCCCTGCGATTCCGCTATGCAGAGCCCTTAGTGCCTTGCCGTTCACAGCACCTCTCTCTAGTGACCATCCCACCCCAGGACCATTTTTTACTTCTTCGCATCCTTCTTAACTTTCGGCTTCGCATATGGCTTGTTTGTTTCGTAGTGAATCCAAAACGCAATTCCACCCAACACGTTCAATCCAATCAACACCAGAATCAATTGGACGAAAAGAAATGGGTTTGCTTGGAGAACAGCGGTGGCTTTAGGCGTGAATCTCAACCATTTGAAGGCATCAGGTCCAGAGAATGCTTGTCCCATTTTCGCTTATGGTGCTTCCGTAAAGATTGAGTATGGAGATGAGGATAGGGTCCAAGATTGAAGACGAGAATTGAATCGGCAAGCTGGGCGGATGTGTGATTCGGAAGGATAGTGATGATGGACTTGATCGATGTCAATTGTATGTGAAAATTTTAAATGATTAATTGTCAATTATCTCGAAAGGGTGGAGAATTCGATCCGGTCAACAGAAGGCAAGTAGTAGCACGATTTCCCGACAATGCCAAAGTGTACGATATACAGACAGAGAGAAAGAAACAAGAGATTAAAACCTACGACGGGAGAGGAGACGCTCTCCCCTAAAAACCTAAGATATATGAGACAGTCTACTGGCGTTTCAAATCCTTGGCATGATGTTACTATGAGCCCATGTTTTGAGGCTCAGTGAGGAATGCTGGCGGGGGGAAGCTGGAGGAGAGCGGTCGATGAGAGGTCGATGAGGATTCAAGATGTTACAGATTTGTAGGAGAGTTGTCGCAGGGAAACAGAGCTTTGACAATATCATTGGGTAATAATAATAGTGGATCACATGGAGTTTTGACCAATTATATGGAGTTACAACTTGATATACGCAGAATAATTTATATTCATATCCTCATGGCGGCAACGTTGATGTTTGAAAAATATCAGTCTGTCTAGTTGTTTTGACATAGTAACTTGTATATTGTGGAATTCACCGGATCACTTAAAATTTTATACTATATTGCTCTTTCAAATAATGTTTCCCTAAGTCTCATGTGATATTCAGTTACTATCAGAATAACCCGTATTGAATATTAGAATCATTGTTTGATGTCCAGATCAAAAATATCTAATCGTCTCTAGAGAGGCCTTTTTATGTCTTGTAAGACGCATTGAATCACCTGAGTTTATCCATATACACAGATCCATAACCCCATTCAAACACGAATGTATTCGAGTGAAATCTGCTCTACGCCAGCAATGATGTGAACAAACACATATCGCAGATTACTTACTTGTATTGAATGTCGTATATCATGTAAGAAATTTTATTCTTCAAGTATTAGCCGATCGGTTTCTGGCTTGGATTATGAATCTAATTGAGGTTCCGGGGGTGTCTCGGGGCTCAGAGACACGCTTCAAACCTTTTGCAAAATGCCCTTTCCAGCTCTACTCAACGCTTCCATAATGCTTTCCATTGAGCGACTTTCCTGCCTGACAGCTTTCAATGCAGCTTCCACCTCTTCACAACGCTTTTGCAAGCGCTCGATTTCTGCTTTGAGAAGATTGGCCTGGTCATCCTTGGCGCGAAGTTGTCCGTCACTAGTCGATTCTGTCGATGCTATACCGGTTGATCCTTCATCATTGTACTCACTGGATGAAGGCACATTTTTCTCAATGCATTCCGGTACGAGTGACTTTGCGCCAACATCCTCGGTGTGAGCCTTCATCCCAGTAACTCAATGTTCAATTCTTTGCTCCATTTCAAGTCTCAACTTATTCCAGTTCTTTCTCTCTTCCCCAGTCTTTTCTTCTAGGTGACTAGCCATCTTCACAATCTCAACGTACTGTGCTCCTTCTTGTACCGCTGCTTGTCGGTAGGTGTCCCTACTTTTTGCAAGATCCTCGACGTCTCCCTCCAATTCGAGAACTTGGGCATGTAATCGCGTTTTCTCTTCGGTAAGGCTAAAAATTTCAATGTCAGAAACCTCGTGCTTCTTCTCGAGGGCGCTCGCTCGACTTTGAGACCGGGAAAAAGCAGCAAGGAGCTTATCGTGTTCACTCTGCAACGATGATAATGCGATCTTTTGGATAGAAACCTCATGTTGAAGCGCTGCTGTATGGACTTGCAATGCGCTATCAGATGATTGCGCGTTTGTAATTGGAGGTAGGATGTGGTTAGTAGTGTGGGAGTTTGATGATTGAGAGGGGCCACCAGATAGACCCGTATATGATGTCGACCCTGAAGGAGATGAGAAGCTGGCCGAGGTCGGGGATGGAGACGGAAAAGCTCGTCCTGGTGGAGATGGTACTTGTCGAGCTGGGGCTGAAGGAGGATTCATACTCGAAAGCCTCCGGCTGGTATTGTCGGTTGACAAATGGGTGTAGTCGGGAGATTGAGTTCTTATGGGTGGAAGTCCTTCGCTGAGTGATTTAGCCATAGACCTGCGTCTTTGGTGCATTCTAGAATCAGATGTGCCCATGTCATTCAACGTAGTTCTCTGGTGATCATCCTCAATACGTCGTTTCATGATGATTAAAGGATCATATGGAGTCACACTGTGAATGGCATCCTTTTTGATGGGGCTTTTTGAAGACACTGGAGGGATCTGCTGAACGAATTTATCGGCAAGCTCGTTGACTTTGTTTATCTTGGTGAGTATCCAGTGGAGTGTTTGTTTTAGGCCAAAGTCAATCATTGGAGGTGGATCTCCAGAAGGAAGAAGACGCAACTGTGAGTGGGCCTAATATTTTGTAAGCATGACTCGAAGATTACACCAGGAGTATGAATGGAATGAACCCTTTTGACAACAAGAACCAAGCACTTTGCTGGTACTTACTGGATTGATACCACGCTTCTCGGAATCTATACCCGAACGGAGCGTCTCCGCTAGCTGAGTAAGCCCAACGCTGCAAGCTTGTGTAACAAGGGCAATTTCAGGGTTCTTTGGCAAATGCTCGCAACACTCTGGTGAAGATTCTTCTTCGCGATCAAATGTAGTTTGCCGCCTGCACTGACGACATATATTAGACATATGTTGCGGGGAGTCCACCCAGCCCCTTACAGTCAATCGAGGAGGTTGAACAAGAGTAGAAGCATTCTGGATCGTCTGACTATAATCATGACCATATCCATTTGGAATCTGAAGAGTAACGGCTGAGTTAGTGATTAAACATGCCATTTTTAGGCTATCCTAAACACCTACAGTGTGCCTGCGATGGGGCCATTTTCCCAAATGCGTCTAGATCCACCCTCGCTACTCCTTTGTAATCACCCCCCTCGTAACGCGACCTTTTCACGACCGAACTTTCGCCATTCTGAGTATGTTGGTGTTTCCGTGTCGCCCAGTTTCCTGAATTGTCATACACTGGATACTGTAAAAGTGGTCCAGCTTCAATTGTGGTAATGTCCGCGATGCCAACTATTACTACTTCCATTTTGTTGTGTCGGTGTTTTCGTATCGTCTTCCCAAGGACCGTTTAAATGCCTGATCGATACGATTGGGGAGACTCCGTTGATCGTGCATCCATCACCGCACTGCCATACCACTATATACTGGGACTGTAGACAATGGCCGATCCATCCGTCCTTCTGATTTCAAACAATGGTACCGTCGTTTCCGAATTCAAACTGGTGCGCGTGCATGGGAGATTTGTTCTACCGATGAAGTCTATATCACAATAATCATCAGTGCTCTGGAGGAATTTCAAGAAGTTGTCGCCAGACTTGATAAGAAATCACTGCTTACATGTTTTCTGTATAAAAGTTAAGGAAAGTGATATACTCTGGCATATGCAGCGGATAGCCCTGTGATCCAGGTACTGTCTACGCACCATCTGAAATATATACTGTACGATGGAGAAGTGAGAAAAGCAAGTAGTCAAATGACAAATTTCTTTAGAGAGATACGACGCCGGCCATGATTTGGAACAATTGGATGAAGGACGCTGTGCACTGTGCACTGTGCATTCTAAGCTCTGTTACATAGCTTTTCTCTATCGAATCTGAAAGGACAGGCTCGTACGGTAGTAATATCATTCATACATTCATAAGAGAAAGTGGGTTTGGGCAGGGAGTGTGTGAAGCAGCGTTAGCCTTACAAACTGTGCTGACGCGATCTTTGCTCAATATTACATACACTCGGTAAGGTGGTTCTAGTCGGTTGAACGTCATGGTGATTCGTTAGAAAGTGAGGTAATGCAAAACGGAAGAGGGGGCGAAATAAAATCCTTGGATATGAATTTCTGTGTTTTACCCTTGGCTGATTCCAAATCCCTTGTATCAATTTTCCGAATAGACGGGAATCGGGCTGCATCGAAAGGGTTGAAGTTGCTAATGCATCAATGGATGTGATGGGAATCATTTGATCCCTCCCTCCGAGAGTCCCTCGAAACGGTTTATATTTCGTGGCTGACTGGCTTTGTCCTTACGAGACTAGTATCTAACATGACAAGGGTCAATTTTGATTCACAATATGACAGTGGTACAGCATCTGGTAGTTGCTGGAGTCTTGGCCTGGCAATTTGCGGGTAGATTAGGTATGCATTCAGATGGTTGAATAGTATATCCCGTAGACCGTTTGACGAGCGGGTTCAACAACAACCAGGATTAAGAAGGAAGGAAAGGCTGTTGATTTTGTGTTAAGGTTTTGGATTAGCCATCATGACCTCTTCTCTCAGGAAATGGGGTGGTGTGGTGTGGTGTGGTGTGATTGATGGTTGGTGGTTGGTGGGTGTGGTGGTGATCATTTTTGGCGGTTGGGAGTCAGGGGGTTGGGAACATTGGTGGAAGTTCAAAACGCTTACACATACAAGGCCTTGCTTACTCAGATTCAACATCTCCACTGAGTGAGTTTGACTAAAGTACCCGGTTTGAGTTAATTTGAACCTTGTTGTGAATATCCTTAGTCGAATATTCCTGAATTAGCCTTATTAAAGTTTGTGAGTAAGTTTTATCCCCTAGAGTGCCAGAGATGGGCTCCGTCGCTTAACAGGGATCTTATTAACCCAATTAAACCATTAGGATTTCTTGAATTTGATCCAATATTCATATTTATCTTTAATATAAAATTCAATCAATATCATTCCATATCAAAATTTCGAGTATTATTATATATACTAATTCTCGATCTTTATTCTTTTTCAAATTATAAAAAATCAGAATTTGAAATCAAGATTCTATATTATAAATAACGTGACTGAAAAAACCATTAAAATATCTATTCTATCCAATAAGGCTTTATCATTCAAGGTATATCGCACGAACCATTTTCGGAGCCCATCTCTGGCACTCTAGGGGATATAAGTGTTTGAGTGGATGTTTACTTCGTAAGTATTGGAATGGTAACCTGCATACGTCCAAGGATTTACCGTCAGTGAGAAAGGGGCACATCTTTGCGTGCATGACAAACGCCTACCTACAGTGTTGTAAGAATTGCACAAAACACGGATCACTAGATTTATCAGCCAACTATTACAAGCTCGAGGTCTGGGATATCTTCGTACTACCAGTACAGAGGTTATACACACAACTGTAGACGTTGAAGAAACTACACTGACCTGCTAAAACATGTAAAAAGTGAGCGTTCTGCCTCGGGATTATATTTACCATAGTTCACGCGACCATTGATTCTCCAAAGGTACCCCCGAGCTTATGGGACGGATCCTTGATGTTCATCGGGAAATCATATGGATCGCAAAGTACACCTCCAACAGCTGACTCAAGTAATGAAGTTGTCATACGGGCGCTGGTGGCGCCGAAAAGTAATTCGGCTTGAATCATCTCCGATTATCACAAAATTACAGGTAGTGTGTTGGAAGTTGATTGAAATTCACTGTTCTTGTTTGAACTGGGTATTAAAATTAAATACATTTGTATCACGCCCCGTTCCCAGAAAGCCCCCTTATTAAGCAAATGCAATTTGTAGTGTCCGGTTAATCGAAATCTAATCAGACAATCGTCGCTGTCGTTTTGGTGCCCGCTCTGAGGAGAGCGATCGCGAGTATCTATCGCCGTTGCGAGATCGTTTAGGCGGGGAGCGAGATCGGCTTGGGGAGCGGGACCGTGACCTAGTCCGAGATCGATAACGAGAGCGATAACGAGAACGAGATGGAGACCGAGACCGAGATAAAGACCGAGATAAAGACCGATTCCGGGACCGAGTCCGGGAATGAGAGCGAGACGGAGAGCGGGATGGAGAGCGGGATGGAGACCGAGATCTAGTCCGGGATCGAGAGAGGGAGCGAGAACGAGAACGAGAACGAGATCTTGAATAGGAAGAACCTGTATATGATGAATAACTAGAAACGGAACTTCCTGAGTCCGATGTAGCATCGGCAGCAGCCGCAGGTAAGGTTGGCAGCGCTGGCTTTGGCATATTCTGTAGGTATTCGCGCATCTCTTCAGTGATAGCACCCATCCCAATACTTGTGAAGTAATTGATGGAGAACCTTGTGTTGCGAGGGTTGTCTCGAGGGAACAATCCTTCGAAATAAGGTCGCAATATATCGTCCTTCAAGCGAGCTTGCAATTTTGCCATGCCCATTGCTTCTGATAGATCCTGGAAAAGAATTTTGATAAATATACGGCTGCTTGATGTTGTCTCTTCTTCATTAAGGTGTACAATAGACAAAACGTGCCAACCAAGAGCGTCGGAGCTAAGAAGGTGGCCAAAGAATCTCGCGATATTTCGTAACCTGTTTGTTTCATAACGATGTATGGTATCGTAGTATTTTGCAAATGATTGTTCAAAAAGATCGGTCCAAAGACGATTTATCTTTGCAAACCGCTCCCCAATGAGTCCATAGAACTTTGAGTATGTTCTCTCCTGGGAGCAACACTCAATAACCATGGAAGGAAGTTCTGGCTCTTGTCCGGGTGGCAGCGTAACTTTCATCAGCTTGTGGCAACATTCTTCGGGGTCGATACTAGACATGATAGTCAAATATATGGTTCGTCGTAGGTTGACGAGGTCCGTATTGCTCTGATCCTTAATTTCTAAAGCCTTTTCTTCTTTTTCCTCCTCATCATCCTCACTATCATCTTCCTCGTCGTCATCATCCTCATCGTCACTTCCCTCTCCAAGAATTTTCCGCTTTAAAGTTCGTTTGTATAATTCTTCGTTTTGTTCCCATTCAGGATCGAATTTGAAAATATTCAATCCATCCTGGACGTCAATATCATCATCCAAGGCCATGCGGTGTGTGATTTGATCTTCTTCCTCCACGAGATCCAACTCTTCCTTGATCGCAGGATTATCTTTATATTTGTCTTTTCGAACTTGGAAAAGGACTTCAATCATATATTGCACCCGTTTATCAATATCTGCCTCATTCAAAATATTCCTGAACTGATCGAACACCGCCAGAGCAATAGGCCCGCTCATCTCTTCGAGATGTTGACCCACCTCACGCGTCAATCCAACCGCAATTTCCACACTATCGTCCGTCGGCTTATTGAGAAGTAACAACAGAATCTGGGCCGCGACAATCTCATTTGCTACCTGTTGATTGCAAAGATGGGCAATGAATGTGGTGGCAGAAAGACAAACAGCCTTATCGTTTCTCTTGAAACCTTTTTTAAACTGCACTATAGACGCTCAACAGAAGCTCTCCAACCTGGGGAAGTTTCGTATTGACGATCGCAGCCATGGCGGCATATATTGGTGTGAATGGTAAACTGGCAGCCTGGGCTTTCATAATGCTCCTACAGAATAACCCTCGACCTCTAATCAGATTCTCTCCGAATAACTCTGGCACGATATGTTTTATGTTTGAGACATTCACTTTGTTGATTAAACCGTTGATCGACTTCTTCAAAGCTTCCCAGGCCATTCGCTGATATTCTTTGCTCGATTTGTCGGTGATTTGAGATTGTAGAGCTCGTAGGCGCGCAGGTGGTATATAGGTACCACCAGATCGCATCGTAAGAAGTTTCTCATATTCAGCTTTCGCAGCAGCTTGCTTCTCTTCCTCCGATCTCTTCTCCATGATTGCGTGGGTTTATTGTAACGATTGAAATCGTCAGATGGGTTGTCTATTTTTATGAAGGTGACCAGTAGTGAAAATGAGGAATTGACGCAGGGTTAATGGCGCGCTAATGAACGCGATGAAGCTAAGATAAGATAACAATCACGTGCGCTGCCTCAGGTGCTGCCTTCACTTTGTTCTGATAAAATTATTCTAAAATATAACTTATAATATAGTTGTTTGATCAATACATATGGAGCATCTAGACAGGTACAGCATTTAGTTTACTTCGCACAATCTGCAACAAAACAGTTGCAAAACATCATTGTACTGTCTAGTATTCAATCTTACATAAGTTATGTGTAGCTTTTATTGTACCTGTTTAGATGAGAGCCGTGCACCACTCCCCCATGGATTACGAAAGACCAGATTGACTTGACAGGGAAAGGAAGCTCTCATTTGCATTGAACAATCAAATTGTCTTCAATTTCTTTACGATATTCACTCTAGAAAGTAAGGAAAAGGCACACCTCTCAAACCTTCAAGCTTTCGGTGTTCGCGTTGATTTCATCACACTCCTTTAATAGTCTATTGCAACAATGGTAAGATATATCCAACCCGCGCGTGTAGCTGATTTTTTCGCAGTTGCGCTGAAAGTTATGCTAACATTCGCAGCTCGATCAACTCGTTGGCCTCGCGATGCTTGTCGCTGCTTCCGTCGTCTTCCTTTACTACACCATCTGGACACTACTTATGGTACGGATGTTATGCCCTCATCAAGAAAGGGGTTCAAAGCTAACTGTCGGGTCCAGCCATTCGTCGACTCCGATCATCCTCTCCAAAACGTATTCCCTCCTCGAGTCTGGGCAATCAGAATACCTGTCATCCTTATCTTGTTGGCATCAGCTGTCGTCGGGTCCTTTTTGAGTGTGGTCATGATCAGAAGCAACAGAAAGAAGGCTGCCAAAGCGAAAGCTGCTTTGAAGAAGAAGGCATAAATGGGTCATATTGGGGCGGATCGGGTTAATGGGATTGGTGTTGCGGCAGCACAATAGTCTCTTATATTTATATGATATCGAACTCATTGTATGCTTGCCTGGTAGTCAGTGGGAGCCCGCGGAAAATTTGGCGCAAATTGTGGAAAGGTTGGGCGTGAGTTTTTTGGCATTTGTGAGGAATTTATATATGCACAAAATACCCATGATAAGCAGATATCAATTTTCAGTCTAAGCACTTGGTGATGATAATGGTACCAGTGGTTCAATCGAACTTCTATGTGTTGTCATGAGCGAACCCTTGGGGATTATGAACGCGGTCGGCTTTGCACTCCGGAATCTGAAAATCCTAGTAACAATAAACAGTTTTGCACCAGCAACAACGGGTTTGCTGTACCTGCAGGAGACGTTGTTCTAATATCACTTGACAATCGAGCTAGCGATATCCTCCTCTTCCAACGTGACTAATTGACTGAGATCTGCTATGCAGCCTGCTTTCATGAACATCAGTCAAATTTATAAAGTAATTTACAAAGTGATTTTCAGTACAGATATGCCTCGATTGAAGCCCGGATATGTATGAATAGTTACAAGTCTGGAGATGTCTCAATTGCCTTGACACTGTTTGATCCACGGTATAGCTTATGCTCGGTACGTTCAAAGATTTAAAGGGGGTTAGTTACATGACCCATTGTGGTGTATCACTCAGGTAGCCACCGCTAGAGCCAATGAATCTAATACATATACAATACCAATACTCGATATGGGCACATGTTGCTTGCTCCAGCGATAAGTACAAAGAGAGGAAGGAGATCTGCAGAGACGCGAGAGTTATTATTAGTCTCCCGGTCAATCATCTCCCTACTATGAATTCATCTATGATCACGGATTCTAGCAGTAGATATAATAGGTAAGGAACACTTGGTCCCATGACCATCATCGAGCTGATATCAAACGTCATCAATACCAAGGTAACACTATTTGAGTACTTGTCTAAGGGCGTCGGAAATCAGCTGCGAGGAAGGGCACAGTTCTTTGATAGACAGACCAGGTACCTAATGACCTTGTCTATCAGAATGATGTTTAAAGTATTAAGGAGAATGCCATCGAATACGACGCATATTGCGGTGTAGCATCGGGATGTGAAAAGCATCTCATCTATTGAACCGAAGTGGCTATAATTAGTACAAAAGAACAAAAGAACAATGACAATGGAAATGGAAATGGAAAGGGATATGGGAATGGGAATGCGATTCCGATAGTGATTACGGAATGTAAGTATGCACTTCGGCATGCTTACTAGGTAGGTCGGTAATGTGAATAGCAACAATAACAAAGTGTTTTATATGTAGTCGTCGACACCAAGGTAGATAGGTAGCAGTAGATAGGTAGCAGTAGCAATCATAAGAACAGATGGAATGAATCAAAGAATCAAACAACTTAACTTTGCTTACACTTTCTCAAGTCAAGGTTGACAACTTGGTTATATATCCATTAGCTTCCACGAGTATGTATACACAAACCTTTATCCTGCATATCTGAATCATCCATCCGTTGACTGATACGGTCAACTCGTGCCCAGGTGTACATGATCTCCCCACTCTTGGCGAATGCCCCTCTTCATACCGCAAACATATGCCAACCAGACTACGATACCAGATCAGATAGCCATCCAGCCCAGCCAGCCATCCAGCCCGGCTTAGATTCAGGAGCTCTTTATGAAGAAGGGAGAGCAACAACAACCTACAAACATAAAGACATCGTTTTATCAATATTCATTTACCTTCCCTAGAGTTACTTACAAACACACATCCTTTAATATACATTCTTTATCATTCAAATCTTCCCGCGCGTTATCCTGAATTCTGTTTCTTCAGGAAGCCCGGGAAACTATCAAGTGTCAGACATCCGAAACACCTCACGACCTCATTATCGTGCCAACCTCGATCAAACCCGAGTCCTAGATTATAAACACTACATCTACATTACATCAACTATACAAACTCGCGCAAGTCTCTTTAACAGGACTTTATAACCATTTGAATGCCCACCTCATTTGATAACGAAACCAACAACAACTCAGGCGGAACATCACAATCTAGTAAAACTGGCAAAGGCGCTTCAGCTGGAGTGCAAATTCCCACCAAGAACGGCAAAAAGAATGGGTCGGCGAGGGATGGCGGCGGTGGTTCTGGAGGAGTTATGGCTGCGGTGACGAGGAATAATGCCGCGAAATCGTGGGTTTCTTAGTTCATAAAGGCTCTCCTGAACATACACGATTGCTAATCTGCCAACTCATTTAGTAAGAACAAATCTCCCGTGGTGACTCCTCCAACTCCATCCCCGGAGACGAAGCCAGTTGTTTCCATACAAGATGACAGTTCTGTGACATCACCGATGTTGGAGGCACTATCGTCGACCTCTCAGGGTTCTTCCGTCACGCACAATACAAATGAATGGGCTAAGGATATTCCAGCGTTTTCCAGTTCTCCAAACAACCTTATAAGTCTCGGTGAATCGCCGCCTACTCTGCCATCTTCATACGAAGACAAGATCACGAACTACGGCTATCCAGCGAGAGAACAAAAGGGGTCTCCCAATAATCACATTCCCTTATCTTCTTCGCCAATAAGTGCAGTAGGCCGTAGAAGACCTATGAGTTACCAAATGGATGGAAACCTTCCATACAGTCCTGAAGAATACCACTCCGCTCTGGCTTATGCAGCTCGACGTACTTCAAGCTATTCACAACAATCACAGGCGATGCGATACAATCCTTATCCGCCACTCCCACATCAACCTCAAGCCCACTTCCATGGAGCGCCCGATACCAATCTTATGTTGTCACCAAGAACTTCGGGTCTGGTCCCTGGTGAGAAGGGCTTTTTTTGTGGATTTGATACTTATCCGGCTCAAGATACAAACAAACCTCCGAACAGCGTGATTGTCACCGGATTTGAGGGTGGGCTTAGTATTCATAACGTTACCAAGAGAGGTCTCAGTAAAATCCTCACCTTAGATGGTTTGAGAGGCGGGGTTTACAATGCCAAGATCCTTCCGTGGACTGCTTCATCGGAACTTGCTTTCCAATATCCTTTGATCGCGGTCGTTATACACGGTCCCGTTCGAACAATCAGTGACAGCTCCAGCGCCGAATATACAGCGTCTTCAGAAAGTCCTCCCGCTCCAGTTGACGACGAGGGCCCGAGCTCCCCAAGACTACCAGCCCGCTCCGTCAACGGCGACAACGATGATGACTTGATAGACTACTATCAAACAACCGTGGAAATATATTCCTTGAGCACAAAGAGACATATTGCCACCCTACTATCTACCCCGAAAATACACGTACCAATACCTCCATCAAGCCCGTTGTTTACAGCACCAGCCCCTATCGGTTCTTTAACGATTCGAGCGGATCGGGGTAACATTGTCGTGGCTTCAGGTATCACTGGCGAAACATGGATCTTTCGGCAGCGGGATAGTGGTGAGAAAGTTGAGTTCAAGTGTATTGGGAAGGTATGGACAACCGTTCAACATGGTCTTTCCGTAGATCCCGCTGTTTTCAACAATTTTGCTGAAGGTGGACGTCAAGCTGAGGCTAGCCCGCGATCTCAATACAAGGCCTCAATCCTATCTTTAAATGGACGTTGGCTAGCCTATTGTCCTTCGGCAGCCACTTCTCAAATCTCACTCCGTGCTACTATCCCAGAAAATATTGCAGCAGGGCGCATCCCTGGCTTGAATTCACAAGCTCCACCTCATCTTCCTGCAGTAAACTGTCTTGTGGATACTCCTGGTGGTGAAGGGGTGTTAAAACAAGTTCTTCAAGCGGCAACACAAGGAATTGTTGAAATTTCAGGCTATGTTGGCAAACAAGGTGCTCAATATTGGAATAATTATTGGAACAAATCTACACCCCAGCAAGCGAACAGTGGGAACGGGTACCCAGCCCCCCAGAATATTTCTCCTCAATTCCCTCCTACGCATGGAATCAATAGCCAAGCGAGCACTGCAAGCAAGGATCCTGGTCTGATTTCAATTCTTGACTTGGACTCGCTCGCCCAACAAACCTCGGGATCTTCGATTCACCCATTGGCTACTTTCCCCGTGCCTCATGGGTGTAGTTTCCTGTCACTTGCGCCTAGCGGTCTCGCATTATTCACGGCAAGTAGTAAAGGCGATGTTCAGTTTGTCTGGGATCTTATGCGATTGCACTATTCAAGGTCATCTCTACTGAAAGGGGCGAGCTCCCAGAGCGGAGGCCTGCATGGGCCACACGTACGACAGATTGCACAATTCTCGCGCATGACTATTGCAAGAATCGTGGACGTCGTATGGACTGCACCGCACGGTGAGCGTGCTGCAATGGTTACTGAGCCTGGAACGGTTCATATCCTCGATCTTCCAGCTAGTGCTTTTACTTGGCCTCCACCACGACGACGCATCCAACCCGGAAACTCTGAGCAGGTAAATACTGATGCCAATAGTGCTGCGCTTTCTGCTGTTGGGGTGGCCTCAAGTGCTGTGTCGTCATTATGGACCGTAGCTCGGCCTCTGGTAGGTTCTCGCAGGCGTCGAAGTAGTGTCGGCATTCCAGGCATCACTGCCGCGAGCGTGAAGTCGCAAGCAGGGCAAGGAACACAGGCATTGGCCGCTGGAATCAGCCGTTCTGTGGGCGCCGCAACTGGTAAAATGAATGAAATGCGAAAATCAGGTGGAACAAAATTGCATCTACCTAAGAGCAGAAACATTCCAAACCCAAACTGCGTCAGATTCTTTAATGGGAAACATGGCGATTCAATCACCGTAGTTGGTGGGGGCATCATACGAATCTACACCGTGAAAGGCAGGAGAGCAGATCGCCCTGCGGATAAGCAAAAAGCATCTAGGGGTGCCAAATACGTCGAGTATCAAGTACCTTCTCTACCTGATATTAGGATTGCTCCGGGGCCAGTACCCGACGACGTTCTTGAAACATTGACCAGAGATGCAGGAGAGAACTGGAAAGCGAGACAAGGATCAACTCGGGTATCGCCCCCATCTGGAGCTGAATCCTCAATACCTCAAGCAGAGATTGAGTCGAATGCTCCATATCAGCCATTTCATACAGATCGGCGAGTTAGCCTCCACGTTTATTCTCACGGGAAGACTAAATTGCCTCCTTCAACGTCTACAAGTAATTCGTCTGACAATATTACGGCTGATTCATCCAAAAAGGCGTGGGCATTTGGTGGCCCTATAGAAAGTGTGAGATTAGATGTCGGCCCACCCCAACTTACGGAGGACGATTACCAAGCTTCTTCTTACCATCGAGCTCTCCCATCCTCCGCCATTGAGCGTGTGATGAGGGTTGCAGACAGTAATCACGAGGATCTGGAGCAAATTGTGGTTACTACTCGAAGGCGCAAGGGTGCTAGTTCTAACGGTGCCCCAAGGCCAGGTGATGAGGACGAGGAGGGCTTCTTTGAAGATGATTGCGAGGTCCTGGATTTTGCTAGCCAGCGGGTTTGATCGATTATAGATTTTTCAGCCAAATCTTTTCGCACTTCGTAGCAATTGCATTCAACACAACGATTGGCTGAGAAGGAGTTTGTTCTATGACTCACGGGGATACAGCTATAAACGATTGTTCGCCATTTGATTTCGGCAGAAAGTCACAGGACCTTCATGGGCTTCTTTGCGTTGCATCTCTTCAGTCTTACTATGATTGAATATCTCTAGAGGGGTCTGCGGTGAGCACTTATGCATAGCTTAGGTTTGACGGCGTTTTTGGTTAAGGACGTACAAGTCTTTGGGCTGGGTGAGCTAGAGGCTGGGGTACAGGTGATATGGAATAGCTGGGATTATACAGAATGGCCTGATATGCTTTTGTGAGATACCATAAATAAGAATACAACAAGTAATTTTTCCAATTGACAATATCATCTCACTGCACATCATTGATTTCTCATGACCGGGTGCATCATTCCAATGTTTTGGTTGTGTATTCGAACCAATGTTGACGATTTAATACGGTTTGGTGGTGAATGGGGTATCACGGAGATATTTTGTAAGATTACAGCATGTTAAAATCCACTTGAGCTCTGCTATGAATATAAGTCTCAAAATTCAAATGAAATCTATACTAACCATCGTGCCATTGGCCTACTTAAGGGGTACACGTGTAGGACGTAAATCGCGCATGCGTGATGCATCACGAATTTGTGGGCACAGGCTTCATAGTCCAGTTCGCATGCCTTGGTCACCTTTCGGGAGATTCCAGCGGCTATCAGATAGCAAGAAACACGATGATTTGAATTGAGGGCACAAGCTGTTCTCCATATCGCGACTACTGGGCAAAGATGCAGTGGTCTTTTTCAGATCACATCAATTGTACTTGGAAAATTGGTGTCATATCTGAAGATATTGTAATGCCATGTCGGGACTTCCGCCAACTATGGCTGGGTCCTCTGTAAAGCCTTGAGAATAAGGTCTCTAGCCCACGATACCCTACATAAATCGCCATACTGCTCCTGCAACCGGGGTATTGCTATCGTCCTCCATGCTCCCGTTTACACTTTTAATCCATTCCTGTTCTAATGCCACCGCATCTGATTCTATTTGCGCCATGGCCTCCAACTCTAGAAGCATGCCACCCACCAAGGCCCTGAGACCGCCCACCACACTTGCCATTGTAGACTCCTTTTCTAACCTCCCGAGATCTTCCAGAGCATCTCGCCATCCTTCGAGTTTTCTATTTAGGACCAAGCATTCGTCTTTCCACGCCAGGTCTAATTCCTCAATGAACACTATTTCCTCCTCATCATCCAACATTTGATCGTGATCTCTATCCCTCAAAATCTCCTCACACCTGATAACCCACTTCTCGAATTTTCTCACCAGCCTTGCATATTTTCCTCCAGGCTCGCCTAGATTCCAAGCTTCGTTGAGCACTTCATCGAGTAGTTGTATCTTCTCTTCCAACCCCCACCCAGGAGTTCCTATATCTTGCAACTCTTTGAAAGCAGCAGCATTGATTCTTCCAGCTTCCTCTACCTCCAGGCGAACTAACTCATCGTGTCTCTTTACTACTGATTGGAACTTTGCCCCAAGCTTCTTCTTCGCACTCGCTTTCCATTGTCTGTTAACTAATTCTGCATCTCGATGCAACAAGTGCAATTGTAATAATTCATTCTGGAGCTTTGCGGTTTCCGCAGTGATCGCAATGTTCGCAGGAAGTTTGCTGGGAGTCGGAGCGGCGAGGAAGGACGCAGGATGCGGTTTAGAACCAACGTTCTTTGCGGGTGAAAAGTGCTGTTGGAGAGTAGAAAATGCAGGTTTGCGAATGGATGAATCTCCGTATAGGGATTGTGGACGTGCTCTCACTGGGGCATCTTGCGGTTGCGCTCTCTGCGAGGTTTGACTCGGCGGGCGAGATCTTTGTGACGTTTGACTGGGTGGGCGAGGTCTTTGTGATGTTTGACTGGGCGGACGGAGGACAGTGGAGGGATTGTTTAATATTGTCGATGAAGAGTTTGTACGTAGATGAGTCGGTCTTGTAGTAGCAGAAGTGATCGACGAGGTGCGTATGTGCCGATTTGTAGAAGTTAGAGGTGGTCTTGAACGATCTTTGACGGGTTCGGACGTCGCAGCAGATGAATTTCGAACAGACGTTGATCGAGCCTGACCACCCGTCGTAGGAGGTTTGGTCACATTTGCCCGGGTAGATGGGGGGCGTATAGAAGCATTGCTGGTACCAATGGAACTCGTAGTCGATGGCCGTGTAGATGTGGGAGTGCTCGATGCGGTTGATATGGTTGTTCTTCGTGGTTTGATGGGTAAACGACTGGGTGAAGCTAGGTTTTCGGGCGCTGCAACCACAGATGATTTGATATCGGGACGACTTAGATTAGTAATTCTCTCTGAAGGTTTACGAATTGATCTTGTCCTTGATGGTATTGTTGACATGATTTGTTTGTTATGTTTATGTAGGTATGAATTGGATATTCAATTATTTGTTAATCGTTTCTGTCAAACAATTGAATGTAACAATTGTGTTGCTCTGTTGACATGCTATTTAAATATTGACATCCTAGCGATATTTTTATTTATTGATACTCGAGTACAGCAAGGCCATGCAGAAAGCAATGCAGGATTGTATGGGGAACAGAATCACAGTTGAAGTTGCGGTAAGTTACGAAGTTACGAAGCTACGAGGTTGCTACGGGTAAATCAGCTATTGGCAAGTGGTGAGTGGTGAATAGGTAGTATGGAATAAGTACGAGTCAATTGTACTTGATTTGTATTACCCTTTGTATCTGATGATGTATATGTATATGTTGTATATGTTGTATATGTGTGATCCTGGAGCATCTTTAAGAGTTTATCAATCAGATAAAAGTATGTCGTGTCGTGTCGTGTCGTGTCGTGTCCTTGTGTTTCTGAGAAAAGACTCGCAGCGACTATCTAGGGTACGGGGATTCGTGGTACCTTACACCATTGATCGAGGTACATACATTATCGCAATCAATTATGCAGCTATTCAATCGTATAGAGTACAGCAAATCAATCGTCAACTCGACCAATTAACTCAGGTTGATCGATTGTACCGACGACGGGATCAAGTGAGCCAGACGAGCAATACATCCGAGGGAGGGAAGAATATGTAGCTACCTACCTAGGACTGAGAGAGGAATACGATATAATTGATAAAGACATGATATATTTGATACTTCATTTCTCTTTACGAGAACAGATTTAATTTCATGATTTATCGGGAGGACCATATCAGATGGGAGATATCTTGGAGTTCATGTTCACGTTCATGTTCATTCTCATACTCTTATCTATGAATTCAAAGTCTTGATGGTCCATTTACCCAAGCAATATCAACCTGATGATGATCTTCCGGGAAATATATTATATGTATATAGTATGAATGTATATACGTAGTATGTGTATAAAATGTGTATGTATAATACACATACTTGTAAGTATTTATATATATCTCTATACACATATATACATATCATCTACTTCGTAGATAGATAAACTTAACCTTCTCCTAAACCCATCTCTCCTCATGCATAGCAAAGCTACCTCACAATTTGATTCAGCCCCAATCTCTAATACGAGGTCTAGAAAGCATTAACGTAACCTTACACTCACTACCTATTCAAAGTACAACATCATATCACATCACATCGCATCACATCAATACCACGACAAGGTATACGCATACGTCAAAACCATCTTGTCAAGGTCCCTTGCTATCTCATCCTACTTATCTATCTATCTATCTACCCATCCATCTATCTATCCATCCATCTATCTGCCGGCATCTACGAAGATCATCATGACGATCATTCTCATACACACCTGAAGTTTCGGCTTTGGAAATCCCCCCGCCGTCTACGCACAAACTCTTGAAATTCTATGTATAGATTGAAAAGAAAAGAATGAAATGGAAAAGGAACCCCTCTTGACCTTCTCCCTCTTATCTCTATCCTCACGTCCCTACCTTCTGCCATAACAAAGCATAATGTATCAAATAGCATGGAATAAACTCAAAAACACCTCATCTGAAATTTAAGGTAGGTAGGTATTCACACTATCCTACATCCCATGCATGTATCGTTCATGATGGGATGAATTCAAAATAGATAAAATCCTGCTTCCCTTCCATGGCATCGGTCTTTTTCCCTCTTTTTTTTCAGTGTAGAACTCCTTCTAGAACTCCTCATCTGTTTCAATTTTCATCATCATCAATATCCAGATCCATGCGTTGTAGGACAAGTTCAATAAGAACTTTAGTCAAAACAAATGCATGAACTTATTGCAAGATATCTAGTCCATACATGCCCTTGCGAAGTTCCCTTTTCATCGTTCCGTCGTTTGACCATTTCAAGGGATCCCGGTTGGCGACTTGTTTTATATCGCACCCAAAGTACCAAAGAAAGTCGAATAACTGTGAATTTGTGTGCTTTCTGTCTCCCTTCATTTTTCTCTTATTGTTGCAATTCTGATGCAATTTATTACATTGAAGAATAATTGACACTTGAACAATCGCTGTTTTCTTACAAGAAGTCAAAGTCGAGACTTGAAACAAGATGGATACAGCAGTCAATTCGCCGTATCGAGAGCCCCTCTTGAAGTACACGAAGGCGCTTCCCAGTGCACCAATAGAATTGAAAGATTCTCAACAAGCAATCATGTCAAAAGCCTTGCCTTCTTTGCCAGCAAGAACGAGCTCTCTGCCAGAGAGGAAAGGCTCAAGAGCAATGTCAATTCCACGTCGAGCCGTAGGGAGTACTTCAATCGCGTCAAAAAAGTCTTCCATTGCGAGCATATCATCTTCAGGTTACTCTGATTCTGTCCTTTCTCGAACTTTGTCCGGCGGTAGCAACTTTACCAAAGATTCACTCAGCTATACTGAATCAGAGTTTCGAAAAACTCCCCCGATACCAGAGCAAGATGAACAGAATCAGATATCTCCAACGACACCAAGAAAGGATATGGGAAGCCCAAAATCTTTATCGAGTTGGAAATCTTCTCCAACACAAGAAATTTGGAGGAGAAGATCGTTGGTAACCCAGAAGGGAATTGAGTTTCCTGATTTGAAACTCTTAAAGAGTAACGGCTCAACGGCAAGTCCTCCTTCCAAAAACGGCAACTCAGCACTCGATCGTTCCTTGCCCAAACTGCCAAGTCAGGTTCTCCGATATAGAGAGCTTTCTGATCGAGAACGAGGTCTCATACCTGCTCGTGAAGCACCGCAAGCACCAGCAGTACCGCCGATGGGCGCAAAGATTTCGAAGCTGAAAGACGTCAGCAAACGAAAAGCCACAGATCAGTCTCATGAACTCAGTGGGCATGGCGACCTCAACACTGACCAGTCTGGAGATCTTGGAGAAGGGCATACGTCACAGTCGACAAATGCACCATACTCGCCTCATGGAGG